TGCTTGACTTTCTTTTGCATGTGATCAAAATATAAAGGACTGGCATCTGGCAGTGTCAGGTCTTGTTAATCCGATGCTCCACACGTCGAATAGGCTCGTGACCTCATTGGTGACCCAAGCGCAAGTTTCGACTTGATCTGATAGTAAAATTACATAAAATGATTGTGATTAGATCTGCACAAAATAGGAAAAAGAACCCCCTCCCCCACAAAAAAAAACCCACAAAACAAAACCAAAACAAACTAGGTTTCTGTAGTTTTTGTTCCAAAACGAATCTCTGGATGTGTTTTATTCGTCCCGAATGAGAATGGCAAAAGTTTTTGAACTGAAAAAAAAAGGTTAAAATTGAACTCATTATAGTGACATACACATACACATGCATTTATCCATCCATATGTGTATATACATACATGCATACGCCTATAGATAGGCACACATACGCATGCATACATACGTGTGATTTATATATGTGTATATATATACACATATATAAATCACATATACTAACATACATTTGCACATACATACACCCATATATATATATATATATATATATATACACAAAATGATTGCACATACGCAGGTATGCACATTACAACATCTACACACGCATCAATACATACATCAGTGGCGACTCCAGCGGTCGGTCTTATCGGGATTAGCCCGAGTGAAAACATTCAAGTATATCTATTTCAAAACAACAAAAACCTTTCGTAGAGCGTCGTTTGTATTCTGGGCCCCCTCAGGGCCAGAAATTAATTGTTTTAACTCCGTTCCTCAAAGTATTGATGGAAATACATTTCGTTGATATTATTCATAATAAAGAAAGAAGGAAAGAATAAATAAAGAAAAAAACAAAAAAAAAAGAAATTAAGTAAGAAACAATATAAATATATGGCTAGTCGAGCTACGTAGATCTGAGTATTATCTGAGTCCTATCTGAGCCGGAAACATTTAATAAGCAATGTATTTCTTGCTTTAATTTTATAAATAAACTTTTAAAAGTCTCTAATGACTTATATGCCCTGTTTTTCAAAGAACACATTTTTAGTTCAACTTATCCTTTTCAAATGTCCATATTAAACAATTTATTCCGTACAGTATAAGTTTTTTTTAACACAATGTATCAGTTGAAAAAGGGTAAATTAAATTTAGCCCGGCCTAAAGTCGGCGAAAATCAAAGAAAGCCTTAACTTAATTTTTGTCGGCTGGAGGGTTGTGTTAAGTAGTGTTTCAGAGTAATCTTGAGTAAATATGATATCAGTCAACAGTACTGATCATAAACGTAAAAATCACAGAGAGATTCATAAACACACTAATGCATACACATATATACAAACACACACTCACGATAGATACACACGTTATTTGAAACAAAAAAACAAAAATAACTGATTAGAGATTTTTAACAATTACATATATTAAAGTTAGAGTAAGTGAATCATTTTAGCATCTAAGTTATATCAATAGTATATTTTGTTAAATATTTTAATGAGCCCGACAAAAATTGATGACTTAATGTCGCCAGTAATATGCATATATAGATGTTGTAATAGAGATATTTAGAGTGACACAGAAATTCAGCAATTTTACATTTTGAACTTATAAATATCTGGCCATTTAGTGGAACTATCAACTACTACAAATTATGCCATACTCCCATGTTTCCTTGACATTGTTATTTGCTCTAAAAACATTTTATCGCCGACCTTGAGATTTTGATATCGTTTTTGTTTTCCGCTCGTGTTTTTACTTGGTAATAACTTGTCGAACACTAAGTTTACTTTTCTAGAAAACATTAATTCCGCTGTAATGTTCAATGGAGAACATCTTAGAAAATTATTCGAATTCTTTACCCGTGAACTGCGTTTCGTTATCAGAGACTATGGTATCTGGTATGCCATATCTCGCAAACAGTTCATGCAAGAAATGCATTATCACTGGACATTTTGGATTTTTACACTTATAAATTTCCGACCATTTAGTGAACCTATCATCTGCTACAAGATAATGTGATCCATTTATAGGACCTGCAAAATCTATATACAGACTTGACCACGGCGTGTCTGTCTTTGGCCAAGGTTCTACCTTTGTGATAACGCAGTTTTGCTGCCAGAGCACAAACTCTGCAAGCTTTCACTATTTTTCAAATATCTCGGTCAATTCTGGTCCAATATACGAAACTTTTAACCAGAGATTTAATTCTTGAAATATTAGGATGTTCGCTATGAAAATCCTTCAGTATTCGCTTCTCTAACACAAGGTATTAGAAACCTTTGCACAAACATTTTTACGACGTTTTATAGCGGGTAAACCTTTAATTCTGGATTTCGTTTTTGTTACTTTCTTTCAATTGCTTTTTTAGTTTCGCAATAAAAACGTCATTTTCCGCCTTTTCTTTTATTTCTTCCGGAGTAACAGACAACTCTCGTATTACGTTGCACAAAATGTTTATTTTTATTTCGATTTCGTTTTTAGTGCTGCAATGACGGTGTCCTCAAATGCATTTTTAAGTATTAAACTTGAAAATCCATCTGTATGTTCTAATTTTTATGACGGCTGGTACTCCATTGTAAATTCATAGTTTAATAAGATGGTACCCCGGTGTTGTAGTCTCTTAGCTGTATGCATAGGTGTTCCTTTGTTTAAACCATATATTGTTAATAGAGGTCTGTAGTCTGTTTGCAACCTAAAATTTCTTCCATGAATAGATTTGTTAAATTTCTTCTCAGTAAATATAATTGCTATAACCTTTTTTTCTATCTGGCTGTAATTTTTCTCTGCTGGTAACAGTGAGCGGGAAGCATGAGTGGAGGCTTTCACTTTACCGCCATCGTATCTGTGTAAAATCATCACTCCAATACCGTACTCGACACCACTAAGCTGACACCACTAAATTTTTTGCTTTTGGATCGTAGTGTGCTAATGATACATTTGACGTAACTCTTTTCTTTATTTCATCAAACGCCTTTTGACAGTTATCATTCCAGTCCCACATTTCTCCTTTTTTTAAGTAGATCGTTCAGTGGAGCTCTCAAATTATGCATGTTATGTACCTATATTTGATACTAATTAGCCTTTCCTGGAAAAGTTTGTAACGCAGTCACGTTTTTTTGGTGGAGGCATATTTCTAATTGCATTTGCCCTCGACGGATCTGGTTGACGGTCATCTTTATCAAAAATTTGACCAAGGTATTTAATTTACGGCAAAAACAATTCGCATTTTTCTTCACTGAGCATGAATCCTTAATCTTTTAGTTTTTGCAAAATTTGTTTTCCCATGACTAACATGTTCTTTAGATACATTTTTGATTAAAAGGTCGTCCAGATACGCCACTGCAAAATCGCAATCCGCATGATATCCATAGCTTGTTGAGAAGTATCTGGTGCCATATTTTTACAAAAAGGAAGTCGGTTAAACTTTTCCAATCCTCAGTGCGTATTTATGCTCGTTAATTCTAAACATTTATTTTCTATTTAAATTTGTAAATACTCTTAAGAAAGATCCAGTTTTGAAGATATTCCTTCACCGTTTAAATACGAAAATATTTTCTCAGGACTTGGTAATAGGTAGTTATGTGTTTCTAAACAACTGTTTAATCCTGTTGAGAAATCTGCGCAAACACGAATTTTATTATTTGTTTTATTTACATTCACCACTGATGCACCCCATCTTGATTGGTGAATTTTTTCTATAGCACACTCTTCATTGACTTGTTCCAATGCTGCGAATGGTCCGCTCCGTTCAAGTTAATAGATTAAATTTTATATTTCCTATAAGGGAAATACTTTGCAGTATCTCAAAAAACTAATTTAAATTGACTGGAAGGTGTTTTTTTCTAATATAACTTTTTATCGCCTATTTTAGTCGTCTTTCAATGAAAGGTAATTCTCTTTATTAAAACATCTCCCAAAAAGAAAATACAGCTTTTTGAAATTTTATTTAAGTAATATAACTGATTAAAAGTCTAAAATGATTTGAAGAAAAGATTATTTACTTTAAGTTTAAAAAATCGCAGAAACTCTTTTTTTTTTAACCGTATCAAAGTAAGATTAATCTTCAAAGGAATATAGGTGGAGAACTATCACAAGAATGAAGTAAACATGAATGGAAAGAAATGCGGGCTGTTTAGGCGAAGATGGCGAGCAAGGCAGAAGAAGAAAAAATACAGAAAAAGAAGAAATTAAAGCGCTTCCCGGATTGATGTCGATGAATTTACCGAAACAAAAGAAAGAAAAAATATGAAGAAAAAATATGAAAAAAATATGAAGAAAAACAAAAGCCAGAAAAAAAATGGAAGACACAAAAGGAAGTATCGTTTTAGATAAACTTACTGAAACAAAAGAAAAATAGGAAGAACAAATATGAAGAAATATGAAGAAAAAACAAAAGGAAGAAAAAAGGAAGAAGCAAAAAGTATCGTTGCAGATAAACTTACCGAAACAAAAGGAATAAAAAGATGATGAAAAAATACAAAAAAAAATATGAAGAGAATATGAAAAAAACAAAACAAAAAAAACAAAAAGAAGAAAAAAGGAAAAAAATAAAAACAAAAAGAAAATATCTTTTGTAGATGAAACAAAAAGAAGAAAAATAACAGAATATATTTTTAACAGAATGGAAAAATTACCACAAAAAAAAAAAAAAAAGAATTGATTGATTTGTATCAAGAATTGATTGATTTGCTTATCAAACTAAATAAAAAAAATAAATTACTCTTCAACAGAGTTCGAACTTGCGCCCTCTTTACTATAAAAAATCACCATTTGTTCGGGTAACCGTGAGACTGCATGACCATAGAGAGCGTCAACGCTCGCCTTGGTTATATTTAATAAACTTAATAATACAATAGCATGGACTTAAGAAAGTATGTTGGACACTTTGGCGGGAAGGAGTGATCAATGAGGCGAGTCTGGTTGATTATTTTTACCGTGTGGTGATTTTGATGAATATCGACATTAAATAACTCAATTAATTTTCACATGTCGTACAGCCAATCATGATTTTCTTTCATTTTTATTTCGAACTCTTCAAATCTATCTATCTATCTATCTATCTATCTATCTATCTATCTGATAAAATTTATTTCTCTCTGTCTCAGTCTGTTAATATCTATCTATCTATCTATCTATCTATCTATCTATCTATCTAGCTAGCTAGCTAGCTATTTATCTATCTATCTATCTGATAAAATTTATTTATTTCTGTCTCAGCCTGTTAATATCTATCTATCTATCTATCTATCTATCTGAACGCGTCGCTGTCCGGTACTTTTAAGTCTCGTCTCGTAGAACATTGCTACTGGATAATGAGCTATATACTCCTCGGGTGCTCAACCACAATGGACTTGTGCCAGACTAAGATTGATCCAAGTATCTTTTTCATTACGTTGCATTATTTCGTTATTTTTTCCTCTTATATGAAACTCTCTCTATATATTAATCTATTTTTAGAGCAAAAACCTTTAACTCAAGACAAAGAGTGAATGACAGACTTGTTTATTTTTGGAAATAAGTTGCCATATTTCTTTGCCATATTCCAAGAAGAATCAAGACTGACACAAACCTGTCGCCGACGAAGTTCTTGCTTTCTGACTTTAAGGTAAGAAGTCAGAAGACAGACATTTCATTTTGATACGAAATGGTTTAATTTTTTGGCAAGCATTTATTTGGCGTTTTTTAAAAATACTTTCTTACTCTATAAATACTAGAATAATACACACACTATCCCAATACGTCACTCTCACTCTCTCTCTATATATATATATATATATATATATATATATATATATATATATATATATATATATATGTATAGCAAGAATTTTTCATACAAGTTTTATTAAAAAATAGGGAAAAGATCTGTCTGTCCAACGTTTTATTTTGTTGTTCTAACTTCCGAAAAGATGTTTTATGTCAGGATTAAAATTGTTGAACTTTCCAAAGATAATTTTTTTGGCATTAAATAATTTCTTCTGTCACTAGAATAATTATCAAGAATCGTTTGTTATTTCTTTGTTTATCAAAGTGTGTTTGGTAAATTCCGTCATTTTTTACTTGGATGGAATTAATTTTACCATTTGATTGTGACGTTATATATATCGCCTAAAAAATGAATTCATCCTTTATATATATATATATATATATATATATATATATATATATATATATATATTTGTTATTACTTTTGTTTATCAAATGTGTTTATATATATATATATATATATATATATATATATATATATATATATATATATATATGAGAGGGAGGCGCGGTGGAGTAGAGGATAGCGGTTTGAATTGAGCAATCGGAGAGCTGAGTTAGAATCCATTACATTCACTTACGTGCTAATGACCTTGGGAAAGGTATATATATTGTATCCATTTAAACGTAATTTTTTAGTGAATATCCATATTATGAAAATTCTCTATTTAATTAATAAATAGTGTGAGTGTGTGTGTATATATATATATATATATATATATATAATTTCGTCTACCAGTCTGAATATTCGAGGAATTAAGAAAAAAAGCTCCCGCCGACAGGATCCGAACATGCGTTCAGCTAGCAGAAGAAGTTAGTCATTAGATTCAATATGCTTTTAGATCAACCCGGCCTCGAAAAGTCTAGCCAATCGTGTGAAGGACAAATTCTCCTCAAATTCCCGTTCATATCTGGTCTGTTTCGTATCCAAACGTAAACAAAGCTATTTCTAAAGAAGTAATGAATTTTTTAAATTGTTAAACAGATTTTATCACTTGAAACACTTCGCTATATGGGGTATTTCATACCGAAATGTAAATATTTTGAATAGAATTTTATGGCTTCAACTAAATATATACTATGACCTTAACAGGTGCTACCAACCCGGGTCAAGGTGGACCTGGTAACAACAGCAATTAAGAGGTGTTTCTACCCTCCTGAAAACCACCAATCTCCTGATCAAATAAATACCTTGCTGCTGGATGTAGCATGGACTAAGAAGACAAAAGACATAATAGAGACGCTACTTAGTTTCTGTGATAAAAAGAAAGATTGATGCTTTTAACGTCTGTTTTAGTAAAATGGAAAATATTGACGATTTTATTTTTTATTTGCGCCCACTAAATTCTTTAAATAACGACCAGCATACATATTCATGATTGCAATTGCCATATTTTGTTTTAAGCTCACATATTTAACGATGCGACAAGGGCATTTCTACAGACATTTTATTGTCAGGGAAAGAAAGAAAAAAAGAAAGATACTCTGATGTCCTGCCATTCCCTATAAATAATGTATTATTCCATTTTGATCGCGTGGAAAGGCGAAAAAGACATATCAAAGACGCTACTTGGTTTCAGCGAAAGAAAGAAAGAAAGAAAGAAAGAAAGAAAGAAAGTAAGAAAGATACTCTTACGCTCTGTCACTACCAATAATTAATGTATTATTCCATTTTGATCGCGAGGAAAGACGGAAAAAATCATAACAGAAACACGACTTGGTTTCAGTGAAAGAAAGAAAGAAAGAAAGAAAGAAAGAAAGGTCGATGGAAGAGGCGATAACACTCTACGCCCTGTCAATACCTCATAAATAATGGATTATTTCATTTTGATCGTGTGGAAAGACGAAAAAGACATATCAAAGAGTCAAAGACGCTACTTGGTTTCAGTGAAAAAAAGAAAGAAAGAAAGAAAAAGAAAGAAAGAAATATGTAACGTCTGTTTCAGAGAAATGGAAAAAGTTGTCAATTCCAATCTTTTTATTTGTAACTATTTAAAATAACGACCAGATTTTATAATTATCATTGTTATTACAATATTTTGTTGAAGTTGTTTAGCTCAAATATTTAGCTATGCGATAGGGGAATTTCTACGGATATTTTATTGTCGTAGAAGTCATCATGCGCTTATTCAATCATTAACTGTAGAATTAAGACTCATCAAAAATTTCAAATAGGAAAACAATGACATTTTCATGGGCATTTCAATTCGTTATTTAGTTTTCGCTATTTACATCCGGGTTATTATCCTTATCTTGTTGTTATCACAACATATCAGCCGGGTGAATATCAGGTGTCCTACGGAACAACAGCCTAGGGGATTACTGCGTTGGATCATGAATTTAGTGACATATTAATTCAGAGTTCAATCCCTGGGCCGGAAGTGTGTACTTGGACTCGATGGAAACCGGGCTAGCAATAAATGAGTAGTACTAAAAAACAAGACCTAAATGAGATATCCCTAAATATAAGCAGGGGAACGGAAACAGAATAGCCCTGCAGATTAAATAAAGACTTTAGTTAGGGAATTCCCTGTAGGCTACTTCGGATTAATATACACCTGATAACCGCCGGAGGATTCAACGGTCGAAACGATAGCAACAAAGATGAGGAGGACGTGTATTTCTAGTAATATTACCAGGGTAGGTGCCTAGTTATTTCGGCCCCCATCCCAAATCTATGAAACAGCCCTACCCCTGAATCTATGCCACTGGTCCTCACAAGCAACTAGATCTCAATTTTAGTATTCGTATAAAATAGTAATTTCATTGTAACCTAATTATGTACAATAATGGATCATATGCAATATAAGTGAACAATTCAACTAGAAAAATGGAAAATAAATACAAATTAGAGAATGTCATAATATAACACGACGAGTTGATCCTTTGGCCACGGCAACCAATTATAACACAACGTGTAGATTCTGGTCACCGGCAACCAATTAAAACATGCACCCCACAGTCGATCCTGGGTCAACATTGGTCAGTCCCAATATCGGTCAACTGGTTGTTGGTCGCTGGTTGTTACAAAGTTTCAGAATTTAATACGTTCAACATTATGTGTAAAATATAGGGAATTATATACAGAGCTTTTACAAGACTTAGCATGAACAAAACAAATTCACGAATTTGAACGAAAAAAAAGCCCCATGAATGAAGTCATAATGTACGAAAATTTTTCATCGTTGACTAATTAGTCATGTTTAGTTTAATTTGTAACGTATATAAATGTAGGTAGAAATAGCAAGTGTAGATAAGATAGCTAGAGCCACAAATCACTGCCCCGAACAGCAATCAGGTATGCCACCCGGTTGGAGTTGGGGTTGGGGTAGTACACACCGGCCTTGATTACTATAATAGTTGCACAAAAATATATTACACACATAACTTTTAATGTGTTCTCTTTTTTAATCTCATATCAATCTCTTTCAGAATTTAACATAAAACATTGTATAGCCTATAAAAAAGTTTACTTTTTAGGGTTGAGTTCAACCTTGGACATAATGCTTCTGAAACTGCTGCCAGTATTAACAGAGTATAGGGTGGGGGATCCAGTTGTGATCGCACAGTGCGTCGTTGGTTTCTGATGTTCCACAGTAGGGATACGAGTGATAAAGATCAAGTTAGTAGAGGACATCAATCTGCAACTGACAATCAACATTCGAAGAATAGGTGAACAAAACCTATGTCAAAATCTCAGAGAATGGGTGCCAGCATTTCAACAGCGTAAGCGTACAAAAAAAAAATCGACTATGTGAAGGAAATCGATAAATGGTTTAAACATGAACGCTGAAAGACTTCGATATTCTGACGCGTGTTCGATGTTGCATCCGAGAAATTTGAATGATGCATTTCTTGATCGAATAGTAACGTGAGGTGAGATATGGATCCTTTATGACAATCGTAAAAGTGATCAGCCTACTGTATTTATCAAGACGAAGCAACGTAAAACATTTTCTAAAACCGACTTGGCACCAATAGAAGATTGGTTCATCGACGCGGTCCAGTTCTGCTCGGTCACGTGATGCCAGGATGTAGAAGCTGGCCGAATTGGGATAGAAGACATTACCACATCCGCCATATTCCTCGGGTCTCTTACCAACTGACTACCACTTTTTCAAGCATGGTAGTAGAAGGCCTAAATCTGCAATTGACCATCAACATTTTAAAACACTAGTCGAACAAAACTCACGCCAAATTATAAGAGAAACGTCTCAGGTAACGAGTGCCACCATTT